AATTTAGAAATCTAACCATATACAGCATTGTAACAGGACAGTCCTATGACATTTTTTTTTCTTGTCTCTTGTGATCTATACTGATGAGTTGAATACATTGTAAATCATAAGGAAATGGAAGTATTAAAAAAGTGATATTTAAAATAAATTCCCATTTTTTCCTGGTTAGAAAAGGTGGTCTTGGAATATGAAGACTATTTTAGAGAACACAGATCAAGAACTCATATTTAGAAGCATAGTCTTTTCCTTTTTAATTTTGAAATAGTTCAAAAACAGTGTGAAGAACAGAAAATAATGTAATAGATTACTGTACCACTATCCAGATTGAATAAAACTTTACATGTTGTCTCAAAAAAAAAAAAGTTAGTGACTCCCCACCCAACTCAAATGTGGTACCAGGCAGAGAAATGCAGTACCATGGACAGCTCCCAGCACCTGCCGGGGACCTAAAGAGGCCTGAGGATTGGAACGGAACGCCTGAATTCAGGTCCTGATTCCACCTCTTCCTTCTAAGAGTGTATTATTTTAGGGAAAATTGGTAACTGTTTTTTCAAAGTATGAAATGATAGTTAAATAAACTGATGAGAGAACTATAATGCCATAAGCAGATAATATTTTCTTGGTGAGAGAAAGGAGCTAGGATTGACACGTATCTGTGGGTTCAGATGTAGGCAGAGCTTCATGCACAGGAGCTGGGGCTGTGCATCCTGAGGCCCCTTTAAAAGGAGAGGTGAACTGTGTGCAGTGAACGGTTGGGGTTGCAGCTGAGACTGGGCCATGTGGCCGTGGTTGGTGGGATTCCCTAGAAACCCTGAACCGGGACTGTTGAAAGAAACCAGAAATTATACTTCACTATTTATGTGTAATAACGTTATGTAATGTTTGATATCCTTGGAGAAATCAGCCATCAGCCTGTAGAGTTAGTTTATTTTAAGGAGAATGAATCATTTAATTAGCATTCTGTTTTACTATGTTCATAATGTTCTTTTTATTATATGTAATTAGAATTTTTATTTTAGAAAAGCATAGGATATTCAGTTCTTATTGACATAAATTTTATGTCAAAATTGATAATTTGCACATTAAGTTATAAGCATAAATATGTGATAATGTGGCATGATAGAGCGAGGAAATCCCTTCAGCGTTTGTACAGAGTTTTATATGTGTAAGGACGTAGACAACAACAGGGCATTCTGTAAGGTGAATGTTCAAGTATCTTTATGTGAAGATCAGTTGGGCTGATTTCATTTCTTTTATGTTAGCAGTGTGGTACATGTCTGTGGTTTTCCGTTTAATAGTCCACTGAAGTATAAGTAGAAGAAATAGCAATTTTCTCCCAGTGGCATTTTAGATCTGTTATCAGAAGAAAATGGTTGTTGTGTGAGGCTCTTCCTTTTAAGAATTTTACAAAGAAACATTCTAGTAATTAGGTAGCTTTGTAATGGTTTGTACCGTAAAGAGTTCTAGGGTTGAAATTGCAAGATAGAAGTTCGAATTTCTTTTTAAATATCCATGAGGTGCATGACCTTTGTGTGCACCCCTGAGCCAGCTTCCTACTATGAAGGACTATCCCTAAGTCAAAGAGTGGTTGTGAGATTACACTGGCTGATATTTCTGAAAGTGGTCGTAACTTCTGATACATCTTTATAAAAGGAGCTGTTTATAACAATTCTCTTTTATGGTTGTTTTCTGCAGAAAGTGAGTGAGAAGGTTGGAGGAGCTGAAGGAACCAAGCTAGATGATGACTTCAAAGAGATGGAACGGGTAAGTCCTCACCACAGTCCTCTCCTTGACATGAAGTTGTCCACCATAAGAAGAGGGAATGGGCTGCTAGACCCCAGAGCTGTCTGATAATATAGTATGTTGTTTTAAAAAATACTTTTCTTTTAGGATGTATTTTAAAACAAAAAATGTGAAGCATCGTGGCTTCCCTTTGTACTATCCTGAGGATAAAACCTCAAGGAAGGTGGTATGTCATAAGATGCTGTTGTAGATTTTTCACCACTTTGACGTGATGTATGGGTAAGGGTCATGTGGGACTGGTGACGAAATATTATAGGGGGTGGAGGGAGGGACAGAAAAGGAGAAGGTGTGGAGTATGGTATGGTATCTGAAATCCTTGGGAGGGGCCCGTGCATCCCATCTGGCTGTACAGGGTGCTGCTGACAGAGTCATGATAGCCAGAGGCAGCAGGACATAGGAGAAAGAAGGTGTCTAGCCTGTCCCAAACCTCAACTCCCATTCCGACATTTATTTTAAAGACCATTCATTGCTTGGGGCCTCCTTATTTTTAATGAAAGGAAAGTGGGAATACTAATAACTGATTGGAGATGTTTTAGTCAAGATTAAGATTAACATAACTGATTTTAACACTACACCCAGAAGGTTCTCAAGAAGTCAATGTGGAATAATACCTCATTTTATTTCTCTTGGGGAATAGTTGGATTTTTGCTTCACTTTGAGGATGTTCATAGCAAATAGTAATTAGGTAACTTTGTAATGATTTGTACCATAAAGAGTTCCAGGGTTGAAATTACAAGATAGGGCCGGGGAGGTGGCTCAGTGGAATAAGTGCTTCCCTGGCAAGCGCAAGGGCCTGAGTTCAATCCCCGGTTCTAAAAAAAAAAAAAAAAAAAAGAAAAATTACAAGATAGAAGTTTGAATTATTGTTTTAATATCCATGAGGTGCCTAGGTGTACAAAGAAGAGAGGATGTATTACGTTGTAGAAAGTATTTCTGTTAAATTACTGGAGAGTGGTGGCTCGAGAAATACAAATCTTGTACTTGAGCATATTCTGAGCCTTTACTACTTGGAAGCCACGTTGAGCATTATTAGTAATATTATTAGTAATATTGCTTCTATACATTATTGTAGCAAAGCATTTTCATTACATTTTGCCCTTGACTCTACCAGATATTTTCTAGGGCTTGGTACAGTCCTTTGTGCTCGCTTCGATACTAAAATTGGAACGCTACTGTCCTTAGCCCACTTCCTTTTCAGTGGGAACCTCAGGTTTGTTGTTCTTGTTGTGTGTATGAAGGAAATTTCTAAAAGTTTTCCTACTGATCGTTTTGGCCACTTCCTTGACGAAGTCCATTGGTGAACTCAACAGATACTCCTATGTCTTGCTATGGTGTGAATTGGAAATGTCTCTCATAACTTCTGTCCTGAGGGCCTAGTTGCCAGCTGATGGGTTCTGAGTTCATCGGGTGGGTTGATTGATTCATTGTGGCATAACTGGGAAGGGAGGGAGGGAGGTAGTTGTGGAACCTTGCTGAGGGCAGAAGATAATGGGGCGTGACCTGGGGACTTCCTGTCTAGTTTGCTGCCCCCTTCGCTTCAGTTCTGTCCCTCACGGCTTCTTCCTGACTTTCTCACTTCTTCCTGACATGGCAGCTTTGTGCCATCCTGCTTCTATGAGGTTTGTCTTCCTTCTTTTGCTCTCATTGCTGAGACGGAATACCTGCTACCCAGAGTTAAGGGAGGAAAGGCTTATGTAGCTCACAGTCTATAGAGGTTTCAGTGTACACATGGCTGCGCCAAGGCAGGGTGGCACACGGCAGAGGGGCAACACCAGTTCATGGCAGCAGAGGACAGCAAAAGCCAGGGAGAAGAGGGGAGGGGGAGGGGCAAGGGGGGACAGACAGACAGACAGACAGAGACAGAGAGACAGAGACAGAAACACGAGCTGAGAGAGCAGTAACCTCTGGGCTGGACAGGCCGAGTGCTTAGATTTGGGAAACCAGCCTGTGACAGCTAATACCCAGAAGCTACGTTCCCTGACTGGACTGAAGTCTGTGTTGGTCCTTACTGCTCGTCATTGCATGGGTAGGTAGATAGATGGATAGATATAGACAGACAGACAGACAGATAGATATAAATGTAGATATAGGTAGATGTAGCTAGATATAGATATAGATATAGGTAGATATGGGTACATAGATATAGATATGTAGATATAGATGGATAGAGATAGAGATAGACATAGATATAGATATATAGATACAGATACAGATAGATAGGTAAGTTCACCTCAAGCTGATAGCTGCTGGTGCTCATCGTCCAGAAGTGATGCTCCACCCACCTTACTTTCACAGACTCTAAGGCTCTGGACAGCGAGACCTGTTCCCAGGATGAGGTGCCTAGGTGCCTGCACTCACTGAAGGAGTAGGACTGGACCTCTGGTTCCTCATCACAGGCAGCCTGAGGGGTGCGCTAATTCAAATCTGTCTGTCCACGACAAAGCTTGCCATATCTTTCCTCACTGCTTTGAGGCTGCTCTTTCCTCGCCCCCTGGGAGGGCATCTCTAGCGTGCTGCCACAGTGCTGTGATGCAGTAAGCAGGTCCTCAGGGACTTGGAGCCAAGTGTCAGGTGTCAGAAAGTAATCTGCTTTAGCAGCAGCCAGGACATGCACACTAAGCCAAGCTTCACTCGCTTTCTGTTGCTGAAAAGAATGAATAGCAAATTTGGAGCACAAAGTAGAGTTTATCACAGGGCAACTAACTAGACCTTTGTGGACTTATTTTTCTTTCTGAAATATACATTACTTATGTTACAAAATAAAATAAAAAGAACATAGCAAGTATTTTACTTGTCCTACTCTGTAGAAAGTTTCTGAAGCTTATATTTCAAAGTTTCGATATTCCTGTAAGAAATTTCTGGCTGATTGAAGAATCTGCACACATTTACATTTTTAAGATATTATTTATTTATTTATTATAAATGAGTTAATCTTTTATTTCTTGAGGAATGATTGTGCAGTTTCCATTGTCTTACTGTTACAAATAATGCTGCAATAAATACCATTGTTTCCTTTTCTTCCGGTCCCTTCTTTCCTTTACCTTCCCCCTCTCTTGTTCCCCTTCTCAGATGAATATTTTGTTCCCACTCCCAATATCTGCTGTACTTTTGGTGCTTATTTACACCTTTGATTCCTCATACCAGAAAAACAATACAGTCTTCAAATATGCATGGCCAATTTATTTCACTTAAGAGTATGGTCTCAAGATGTATCTATGTAGCTGGAAATGTCTCAAATTTACCTTTCTCTATGGCAGAGTAGTGCTCTATTATATGTACCACTCCCCCTGCTCATCTTCTTTAGCATTGGTCAGTTAAGTAGCTCATAGATTTAGCTATAAGTGCTTTCCTGGCAAGCACAAGGGCCTGAGTTCAATCCCTGGTTCTGCAAAAAGAAAAAAAATAGCTATTACAGATTGGGCTGCTGTGAACATACACATGCATGTATCACTGTGGCATGATGCTTATTTTTTCTTTCAGGAAGATAAGAAGAGGAATAGTGGATGGGTTGAATGGAACCCCTAATTTGTGGGTTTTTTTAAGGAATCCATGCAGTCATTTTCACAATGGTTGCACCAGCCTAGACTCCCACCAACAGTGGAGAAGGGTTCTTGCCCCACAGCCCTGCCAGCATTTATTATTGGTTGATTTCTTGATGACAGCTGTTCTTTCAGGGGTGAGATGGAATCTCTTCATTTTAATTTGCATCTCTCAAATAACCAGAGATGTTGAACATTTAAAAGGTTTATTTTCCATTTGTACTTCTTCATCTGAGAAGTGTCTATTCACTTTAGATGCCCATTTTTGGATTTTTTTTTAATTTGGGGGCTTTCATTTTTTTGAGTTTTTTTATATTCCATACATTAGTCTTTTGCCTGAGGAACAGCTGGAGAAAATTTTCCCACGCTGAAGGTTGTCTCTTTATTATGTAGGTGGTTGCTTTTGTTGTGAAAAAGCTTTTAATGAGATGAGATCCTAGGTGTTGATTCTTTGTGGTATTTCCCATGTGATTGGGGTGTTGTTCATAAAGTCTTTGGCTATCCCAGTGTCTTCAAGAATTCTGCCTCTTCTATCTCCCCACAGATTTAGTGTTTCTGTCTTAGTGTTTAGATCTCTGATCATGACAATTTTATTATAGTGTATGGTGAAAGGTATCGGTCTAGTTTTAATCTTTGGCATGTGCAAAGTCAGTTTTCTAGCACCATTTATTAAAGAGGCTTTCTTCCATTGAAGGTGTTTGGCTTCTTTGTAACATAAGGTGGCTGAGTCTACTTGGAGTTGTTTCTGCAACTTCTGATATGTTCTGTCAATCCTTGGGTCTGGGTGGTTTTTTCCCCCAAATACCATGCTGTTATTATCATAGTAGCTTTGTAGCAGAATTTCAAGTCAAGCCTTGCCTTTGTTGCCCAGAATTTCTTTTGCTATTTCAACATGAATTTTAGGATTGCTTACTCTAATTCTGTGAGAAACCATATTGGTATTTTCATTGAGATGCACTAAATCTGTTTGGCAGTTTGGGAAGTATGGCCATTTTCACTCTAGTGGTTCTTCCTGCCCAAGAACAAGGGGTGTCTTTCCATTGCCTGATATCCCCTTCGATCTCCATTTTCAAGGTGTTGTAGTTTTCAGCGTAGAGGTCTTTTACTTCCTTCCTTAGATTGACTCCTAGATATTTCTCTTCTTTTTGTTTTAAATGCTTTTGTAAGAGGTGTTTTTTCTCTCATTTCTCAATGAGTTTGTTTATAGGAATAGCATTAATTTTGGAGTGTGGACTTTGTATCCAGCTGTGACACAAAATTTGGTTATTAAATCTAAAAGTCTTTTGGTAATGGGTCTTTTATGTAGAGTGTCATGTCATTTGCAAATAATGATACTTTAGCTTCTTTCTTTCCTATCCTTGTTTTTGCTCTTGTCTAATTGCCCTGGCTAATGTTTCCAGAAAGTTGAATAAGAGTGGTGAC